GAGGTAGCTGGAGACTTTTACACACTACTGCAGTATTATGAAAAGCTTTACTAAAGACCTATTCTCACTTATGAAAGACACATAGCCTTTTGTGATTCATTCTATTCTATTATACGGTAATACTATCCGTATTCTAATAAAAAAAGATCTTAACTGTAGTCTAAATGCATTTGTACCCTTACTGCTAATTACTGTTGCTTAGTTACTGTTACAAACACATCATAGAAACAATGTTTGTAGTGTCTGTTTGTGGACAGTGGCTTAGCAACAATAATTGTCAGTATTATTATGATTTTTTATTCAATTTGCTCCAAATATGAGAGGATATTTGCTAAAGTAAAATGGAAAATACACATAACACGGATTCTATTGTTTTGTTTTTTCCTGTGAACTTTCAGAATTTCTGCGTGAAACGTCTTTAATAAAATTGGTGTCATTTATTTATTCTTCCAGATCAACCGTCTGTTGATCGGCCACACTAACAAAGGCATGCGTGCGGGCTGGTTCTTGGACAGTGTTCAAATTTTGGTTCCAGTCCATGGACAGAATTACATGTTCCCCAGCCACCGCTGGCTGGACGAAGATGAGGCCGATGGCAAAACAACGGTGGAGCTCTACCCAAGCGAGATCCTGGATGTAGAACAATGTAGGCAACACATTAAGCACAGGAAGAAAAACACTAATAAACAGTATTTAAATGAGTGAGTAAGTCAAAAGTCAAAATGGGGAGTCACCTTCACGTACCAAGGTTAATAATGGAGTCTTTTCTTTCAACCAGTCCCAGCAAATAGCTGCCCCTCCCTGAGGCTGGTTCTACTGGAAGTTTCTTCCTGTTCAAAGGGAGTTTTTCCTTCCCACCATCACCAAGTGCAAGCTCATAGGGGGTTGTCTCTTTGTTGGGTTATTTTAAAATATTTTTTAGACTGTAGGGTTTGGGGCCTGCAATATAAAGTACCTTGAGATAAAAGTTATTGTGAATTTCCACTATTTAAAGACAATTACACTGAACTGAATTATTATGTAAGGCGTTTTAAATATATGAGTTAAGTATATGAGTATGTGTTAACACCATTGCTGCACGAAAAATTCTTGTGTTCACTTTCACATTCATCGATCTGCATTTTCTAGTAATAAACTATGAGATAACAGTCGTAACCGGAGATGTGGTGTTTGCTGGCACAAATGCTGTAGTCTTCATCCAAATCTACGGGGACAAGGGGAAGACGGAGGTTATCACACTGGAAAGCAGATCCAACAACTTTGAACGGAATACCACCGAAATATTTAAGGTTTCAAATCTGGATTTTATGATTTCCAAAACTCCAACTCTATTGCAACAATTTAACGTGAATGCAGAATTAAGTGTCCAAATGTTGAATCAAAACTTTTCAATTGTTTGACAGATAGAGGCCAAAGATGTCGGAAAGATCTTTAAGATACGCATCGGTCACAATGGCGCCGGCATTGGATCTGGCTGGTTCCTGGAGACAGTGGACGTGAAACATCTCATCATGGCCTTGGTGCCCAAGGAGAAGAAAAAGGAGGACAAGAAAAAGAAGAAGAAAAAGAAGAAAGAGGAAGATGAGGATGAGGAGGGTGGCGAGGAGATGCAAGAAGTGGTGCTGACATATCATTTTCCCTGTTCACGCTGGTTGGCTGGGGGAGAGGAGGACGGCGAGCTGGTGGTGGAGCTGCTGCCTGAAGATGCAGAAGAGATGGAAGGTACTAAATGAACAAGCTAAATGAAAGTTTTAACTGTTTTATTTAACACAGTTCATGATGATGATGATATATGTGATAGTAATAATCATCATAATAGTAATTCCCGGTAGTTCAGTGGCCATGGATTTGCAACATAGTACAAAACAAAACCCTTTTCTCCGTGCATACTCCACAATAAAAATGCACCAAAATCACTCTTTCAAATATACCACCTGCAACAAAATGGAGCTGCTATTCATGCACGGATAGAGTCAGGCAAACACAGCTTTGTTCGCTGGTCCATGAACCCTCTCTTTAAATTATATCAAAAATGCAACAGCATAAAATGCATTTTTAGAAATTGCATATGTTCTTTAAACACTTCTCTGAGTTTGGAGCATATTAAAGTTTCAATGCGTGAGATTTTCATTATAATTTTTTTTATATTATTAATGACTTTTTGCAGTCTCACTGACTGTGTGCAATCCTTAGTTACCTCCCTATGTGGAAATCTAGTCATGGAGGTAATCTACCATCTGCACTGAATTCAAATGCCTTTTCACATGAATAATGCATTCAGAGCAAAGGAAGCATACCAGTGCTGGATGAAATTCATGATTACATTGCACGTAATAATATTATCAAGTCAACCAAAACTAAAAGATTTAACATCATGTCTTTAAAGTTAGAGAGAAGAAAAGGTCTGTTTTATTCAAAGAGCACCTCTTCTTCCCATATGCATCCCTTCTCCTCACATAGTTAATTAATTTAAGACATAGGCTTAAAGCAGATGTATTTTCTATCAGTTTTCCAGTGAGCACCCACCTGTCTGCATTTATCTTTTTGAACAAGACTTCCCAGTACCACCTTATCCCATTTTTAGTCATTTAAGAAATTTCAATTAGCTACAGCTAATAAGCAATAAAGAACTGAAATGTATTTTTATTTACGACATCTTCATTGTGTCTTCAGTGTTGTGTTTTAGCCATAATTGGTTCACACATTTACTTGGAGGGCATGTATGACAGGTTAACAAGGTGTTAGTAATTGAACCCTTGTTTTGTCTGACAGTCAACACCTACGAAGTGTGTGTCTTCACTGGTGACATGATGGGAGCCGGGACCGACGCCAATGTCTACATTAATATTTATGGAGAGAACGGAGACACTGGAGAGCGCTGCCTGAAGAATTCTGACAACATCAATAAATTTGAGGGAGGGCAGGTAATAAAGGAAATACACAATCACTTCTAAATTTGTATGATTATAAAAATGATGATTTAGATTTAAAGATGTCGCTTGATTATATTTGTGATTATGTTCTATTGTGGCGAGTTCTACGAATTGATATTCTTAAAAAAAAATATCTTAGTAGCTTTCATCACAGCTGAACACCTTTATACATTTGTTCAAAAATGTGTCATGCTGAAAATTAACCAGCAGTTAGTCAAAGATTCAACCATGTTCGCGCAACATGAGTCTTCCACTGAGGTGTGGGTGGGAGCATATTCTGGTAGGGTTACAAACACTCCTGCAGGCAAGCCGGCTTGGACTCACAGGAGTCCTCTGCGTCATTGAACCCGTCCTACTTTTACTCCATACTTTATCCACACCTGTTAATTAATTATCACAGCTGGCCCTGTAAGAACATAGAGCTCACTTCAGTGGAAAATGGGTCTGTTTCTAAGACACAAGTAAAAAGTCCATTCGGTGAGTGGGAATGTTTGGTCTGTGGCTGACAGACATCTACACCTTTTCTCTGTTTAGTTCTGTTTAAAATCGTTTTTTTCATTAAAGATACTTTAAGAGGCATATATATAATAACAAAATTTAAGAAAGAGAGTTCAGGCTCAGGGGGTTGGGAATCGCATCTGTAACCGGAAGGTCGCCGGTTTGATCCCCGGGCTCTCTGTCCTGGTCGTTGTGTCCTTGGGCAAGACACTTTACCCTACTTGCCTACTGGTGTTGGCCAGAGGGGCCGATGGCGCGATATGGCAGCCTCGCTTCTGTCAGTCTGCCCCAGGGCAGCTGTGGCTACAACCGTAGCTTGCCTCCACCAGTGTGTGAATGTGAGAGTGAATGAATAGTGGTATTGTAAAGCGCTTTATAAATCCAATCCATTATAATTATTATTATTTATGACCAATTAAAGCTCCTGAATAAACAGTGTCACCCTCAGTTCTGTAAAGGAATTGTTCTTCTTTTTTAAAAATAAATAAATAAATAAATACTTTTATGTGATACAATGTAAAAAAAAAATACTATATTTTACTCATGAGTGAGTGCCTTAACAGTGAAATAAACTGAATATTTCCTCAACAACCCCACCTCTCTTTCTCTCTGTCCTTTTCTTCCTTCCTTTTTTGCTTTCTTTTACTTTTTCTTGTCACACTTGGTTTGTTTTGTTTATTGCTAGTAGCTTTTTTTTCTTGAGCTATGCCATCACCGGACATGTTGCTTGGGAGACCTGCTCTGTTTTCTCGACCCCTTATTACCATTTTTATTAAACGTGCTGCAGTTGCATGACGACCGGAATAACAACAACAGACATCCCTGCAGAAATCAGAGGATAACAAGCAGGGGATGTGGAAGTAGAAGGAAGCTACAAGGGAAAAGAAACAGGCCCAGAAAACAGACACTGTCATGCCTGTGAGATGGCTGGACCACAGAGAGGCTAACAGCTTTTGTGAGAAATGAGGGGCCCTTCATGTGTGTATTATACTGAGTGTCACAGAAACACATCTTCAAGAATAATTCAAGATCCCGTCACTAACATCAACTGTTTTCAGATGATTCGGGAAGACAGAAATAAATCCAGGAGTGCCAAGTGGAAGGGAGAAGGGAACAAACGAATGGTGCCATCTTTGTCACATTACCATGAAGAAATTTAACTGCAGCTCACATATTCATTTAACTGTTTTCTGTGGAGTATGACCAGCCGTCTTCTCCTTTTTTAACATAATAGGAAAGGTGAAAAAAATGAATTGACTTGCAAATCACTTAGTGTATTTAATTAAAAATGATACACAAGAAAAGCATAAAACTTTTTTACTGAATTTTGAAAGCTATAGTATATGCTTGTTGTGAAGTTTGAATTGTATTTCAAACAATTGCAAATACTTCAGGGATTTTTTTTATCCTCAGTGGATAATATTTTAAAATTTGAATACACAGTATTGGAAATCACTGTATGGACACAGAAGCACTTCTGAAAATTGTTGTCAGTGAACAGCATCCACCAAAGTGGATATTACACTTTGCAACATCTATAAAATATGATCCAGAAACACTGCTGCCTTCTCTAGCCTCAAGCATATTTAATACAGGGAGAAAAAAAACATTCAGTGTTTGAATTTACCGAAATGTTTAATTCTTTTTGGAAAACATGCCCATCACTTCCTCCTCTCTAAAAATGTGAGGAACTGTATGACTTAATATTAGTGTGCATTCTAAAAGCATGAGTAACTTGCACATGGTAGGCACTGTTAAGGCTGAAGAGTACATACAAGTTATGGAGAAACATGTGAATCCCACCAGATGATTCCAAATCATATGCAGCCATACAGATGATGATTTCTCAGGACAATGTCAAACCACATACAGGTACCTCTGTGACGTGAACAACATGACTCAATTGTAAAAACAAAAGTAAAAGAGTCTGTTTGTTGAACTACCCTGCCTACTTTCAAGACTTTGGGAACATTATAATATACATATCAAATTCAACTAAAGTTTTTTTTTAAGTTGTCTTTGACTTATTTTTAGGTAAATATGGGATTTTGCATTTTGTTCTTCTCTACATTTTACACAGCATCGCAGAAACAGGGAGTTTTCATATTACCTTGTTTTTGCTTACATGCTTCTTCTAATAATATATTTGTGATGTGGTCAGATATACTGTAGCAACTCTGGATGGATTGCATTCCATTTTTATATATTTGTGCCTTTTCTGTCTTTCCCTTGTAAAGTTTCAAAGCTTTCATATATTTCAGTACTGTTTCAAACCAACTTCTCTTCTATCAGTTAACACTCTTGTGAGTCCCGATTCATTTCTGCTCTGGTATCACTTTGGACTATCAAATAAAAACAGTTAAATTAAAAGTGATTTGTAAAACATCTAGTTGCTGCATTTTGCAGGAGGATGTTTTCATCGTGACAGCCGTTGATTTGGGCCCTTTGAAGAAGCTACGAATCCGTCATGACAACTCTGAGTCTTACTCCTCTTGGTACCTGGATCGTGTTGAAATAGTGGACACAAAAGAGGATACAACGTAGGTGCCACAAACATACAGCCATGTGGGTTTTGCTTAGTTATTCAGCTGGATTCCAGAAAAATCCTACAGCAAACAACAATTAAAGATTTTGTGTGATTAGGAGAGTAAATTAACAAGATTATATCTTGGAGTGTTGAACAGAGGTGTTTCTTCTGTAGATACTACTTCCCTTGTAACCGCTGGCTTGCAGTTGATGAAGACGACGGGCAGATAGCGAGAGAGCTGGTTCCCGTGGATGAGGCCTTCATGAGGAAGGATGATGATGATGAGGGCACGAGTGGTACTCTGGGCCTGGAGCAGAAATGTAATGAAGCTTCAAAGCTTGTTTACGCCTCAGTGGGATAAGATTAGTGGAAGACCAATATGACAAGTTTCATGTACTTATATGATAAATTTATCCTGCAGCTATGTCTACTACATACACTCTTAAGATAAAAACTGGAGAAAAGAAGTATGCTGGAACTGATTCCAACGTCTTCGCCATCCTCTTTGGTGAAAATGATGACACAGGTGCGATAATTCAGCATCATCCCTGCATTATGGTGGCATCCCTGTTACTGGCTAAATATCAGAATTTTAAAAAAATCTGCATGTCACCCACAGGGATCATCAATCTAAAGGCTTGTAAAAACTACAAGAATAAGTTTGAACAGGGGATGATCAATGAGTTCACTGTGGAGGCCGTGGATCTGGGCGACTTGGTAAAAGTTCGAATCGGGCACGACAACTCAGGTGGGGAAAGAACGTACTGTCCAAAAACAAACAAAGCAGTCATATACATAAGCACTGCACTGTACAAAAAAAATAAACTTTTTTTTTCTGAATCAGGGGGTTCATCTGGTTGGTTCTTGGACTGGATCGACATTGATGCCCCTTCACAGGGTCAGAGGATGCGCTTCCCATGTGGCCGTTGGCTGGATAAAGGGGAGGATGACGGTGCAACTGTGAGGGATCTCTATCCTGCTGACTTACAGACTGAATTCTACACACCATGTGAGTGAACAGCAGTGATATAAGCACTCAAATCCATTAGTAAACGTAGAGTAGGCTTATTGAGAAATCGTCCTCTAAAAGTGCTTTATGCAAAATTTCACTCTGATAAAAGAGCGGAAGCATTAGCAGTAAAATGTATTTTAAAGCAGTCTGCCTGAAGAATGGTGCTTGTCAGACCATTAACTCCAACCTGTAATGAATGTTATAAAGCTGCAGTGGTATCCTGTCTTTTTATTATCGTTCCTCCAATGAAGGCTTGTTTCTGCCCTTGAAAAAAACATTTTCGATTGGCAGAGCTAAGTCGAAATTTCAGGTTATTTTCCAAAAAAAGATTATGACTTACTCACTCAAACTTTAGACAAAATTACTCAGAATTTAAGTTATTTGAGTGCAAATGGTTGTCTGTGTCTGTGTGTTAGACTGGCGACCTGTTCAGGGTGTACCCTGCCTCTCGCCCTATGACAGCTGGGATAGGCTCCAGCCTCCCCTTGATAAAGTTATTTTCTCATTAGTTTGAGTTAATAAATCCAAATTTTGAGATAAAGTTTGAGACAACAGCCCGAAATATTGACTTATAGAGTATAGTTTGTTTTTATCAATATGTATGCAAACTCAACTTACACATTATGATCCATTCATGTCAGTTAGTTTATACAAACAACAAGAAAGTAAATAAATAATATTGCAGTTTATAAAGCGGGCTCAAAGACTGTTATTATTTAATCAATGATGATAATTTAATGCCCTTCAATATAAGGGCATTTTTATAAAGCAGGCTCTAAAAGTTCAACCAATTTCAGGATATTATAGTAGCAATTATCTATAGATATAATTTCTACACATTACTTTGTATTTTCATTCAGTATCTTACCAGTTAGATGTTAACTATTTAGGACAGCAAATGTATTAAAAGATCAAATGATTCCTTTGAGTTTCAACAACAAGTTAACACTAAAACAGAAAAATGTCATCAGTGACAATAAACACATTTTAAGCCAGCAGTTATGGCTATCAGCTAGCACAACTGTGATCACTCTCCACAGATAAATAACCACATATACTGCACGACTTTCTTCCTAAACTTCTTGCTTTTAATTGCTTATCAATGCTTGTAGTAAGAATGATGGACAGTTATTACAGTTGGATAGTTTAGTCTGATATGTTTTCTGTAAGGCATAAAAGCACGTCTGGTGTCATAACTGTAAACGTTAGCTGTGAATACTAATATAGCCTTTCCTAAAAATGCAAATGTTTCTTATATAAAAGACTAGATTATATGCCAGCCTGTCCTCCACCTTCATCCATGACAGCCTGGCATGTTTCCCACCCACACTGTCGTTCAGTGAAGAGCAAAATGGGTAGCTCTGTTTTGAGCAAGGGTCTTACTTCTGAAGCACTAAAACCGAATAACAGACAAGTAATCAAGGTGGGATAGAAACAAAGACTATTATACACGTTTAATTGTGGCCTCTGAAATTCAAAACGCAAGCTTTTGAATATTAAGTTGAAATATACCCACTCCTACATCATCAATATGAGTTAAACATGACAGTGTTTGCTCATCAATAAATGGTGAAACCGCCAAAGCAACAGAGTTTCAGTCTTTGACGCACTGACATTTTTTTTGTAGTGCGTCTAATACATCCACAACAAGATTGTAACACCTTGTTTTCTCTTTTTCATGCAGCTTTTGTGTTTTACAAGTCTTAAAATAGTTGTTTTCTTTGCTGACTCTTGGTTAAAAAGAAGGAAAGGAAATCTGAACACAAGTGGTCAGCTGTACCTGACACCTGATAAACCGAAGTGTAAACGATGATGGGACCAGTGTGTGTACGGCTCAAAAAGGGTTCTTCCACCTTACCTGTCAACAAAAAAGCTTTTCCATTTTTTTCAGTTGTGCCTTATGAGATAAAGATATACACCACCGATGTATTTGGAGCGGGAACAGATGCTGACGTGTTTATAGTCTTGTATGGCCATAAGGGGGTGTGCACTCAGCAGAAGCACCTGTGTGTCAACAAGAGAGAGCGACGCTTGTGCTTTGAAAGGGGAGCTGAAGACATGTTTATTGTGGAGGTAAGCGTAATGTGTGGCTACTCACTGATAGAGCTTTTCAAAAAGTGGCGGCCGGTTTGCAAATGATAAGTTGTCTTTAAACAGCTGGAGGACATTGGTGATGTTATAGAGAAAATCAGGATAGGACATGACAACAGCGGCACCAATCCTGGATGGCATCTTGACAGAGTGGAGATCAGGCGACAGCTCAGGAAAGGAAAGGTAAGCAAAAGCCACATGAGATGACACCTTAATAGCGGCATTATATTGCCAAAACTATTCACTCACTCACCCAAATCATGGCTAAGGTGTTCCAGTTACTTCCATGGCCACAGGTGTGTGTATAAAATCAAGCACCTAGGCATGCACACTGCTTCTACAAACATTTGTGACACAATGGGTGGCTCTCAGGAGCTCTGTGAAGTCAAGCACTACTAAAGATTCCACATTAAACTTTTACTGTTATTATTATTATTAAGTGGAAGCGATTGGAAATGACAGCAGCTCAGCCACAAAGTGGTAGGTCACATAAAATCACAGTGCACATACCGAGGCACATAAGGTTCATAAAAACATGGATGAGCGAGTCTGGTGTGAAAGAATTTGATTGTCCTGTACAGAGTCCTGACAGCACCCTTCTCATCCAACATCACAAACGCTCTTCTGGAAGAGTAGTCAAATATTCTCATAAAAACACTCTTAAACCTTGTGGAAAGCCTTCCCAGAAGAGTTGAAGCTATTATAGCTGCAACATCATGTTCAACCCTATGGATTAAGAATGGGATGTCACTCAAGTTCATATGCCTTTGAACGCAGATGAGTGAATACTTTAGGCAATGCACTGTAAATGCATCATTAAGAGATTTCATGTCTGTGGCCTCATTAAATTATTAACAAATTAATAATTTAACATCTTCTGGCTCACACAGTTCATTGAGTCTCAGCTAGAGAAACATAGCTGGTGCCAGACTGAAGAGTTGTGTGTGTTTAATGGCAGGGTTCTGAGACGACTATATTCCCTTGCGAGCGCTGGCTAGCTAAGTCTGAAGATGATGGTGAGACGGTGAGGGAGCTTGTCCCCTCAGACATCATCACACAGAAACTCCTCAGGGATGGGACACTGAAAACGACTGAAACTGAGGTGGAAGATGCTTTGGAAAGTAGGTTGAAAGTTATGTCACCAGTGGAATGTAACTACACTTGCTTTCAAGTGCTCTGTCTAAGGAAACATTAGAGGTGCTTATTTGTATTTCAGCTGTTGCATGGTGAAGATGTTGAACTAGCATGGAGCAATATAAGCCTTGGTAGATTTTGCTTTTCAGCATCCTAATATGCTCTTCTAGCATGCACTTTTTCAAAGCTGAACTCAGTTTTGAAAGGGTTAGTGGGGAGAACGGTTTAAAGTCCAATTTTGAGACATTCTTCTTCTTTCAGCTGCTCTCTTTAGGGGTTACCACAGCCGATCTCGCACTATCCAAAGCATCCTCTTCTGTCACACCAACCCTCTGCATGTTGTACAAATTTTTTGAGACATTTTGCTGTATAAATAGACACGCTGTGAGACTGGAAACAACACAGTTGGGAAAAAAAATCTATTAGCAAACAAGGTCTGCATTTACCGACTTCAAAAATTTTCCTCCCTCACAGCTCACACATACACGGTATCTGTGCGGACAGGCGATATGTACGGAGCAGGGACCGATGCCAACGTTTTCCTCACCATTTATGGAGATTTGGGAGACACAGGAGAGCGGAAACTCGCCAAATCTGAGAATAACAAGAACAAGTTTGAGAGAGGAGAGGTATTAGAGGAGAAGTGCGAATCGTTATGTGATGTTGCACAAAAATAAATCTAAATCTGTTCAATTCCTTTTGCCTTTTAGGTGGATAAGTTCAATATTGAGGCCGTGGATTTGGGGCAGGTGTTTAAGATTCGTGTTCGTCATAACAACTCTATGATTGGGGCTGATTGGTACCTGGACCAGGTGGAGGTGCTGGATGTGGAAACAGAAGAGGTATACATGTTCCTGTGTGAGCGCTGGCTATCAACGAAGAAAGAGGACAAACGAATAGACAGGACCTTCTACGTCAAGGTTGTGTTTAAAGACAGTGTTTTATTATTTTCTTCTTTGTATGTCAGAGTTATTCCAGAAAAGAAAATTGATAGCTGTGTTTATTTTGTGCCTGTTTCAGGGGTATGAGGGTGAAAGAAGCTCTGATCCATATTCCAAAATGATTGCTCAGGCCAAACTGGGACTGGACAAGAATGCCAACAAGAAGAAAAAGAAGAAAAAGGCAGTAGTGGTTGAAGAGGGTCCAAGTAAGGTCTATTCATTGTGTCTCTTTGTGAAATGACGTTTCTGGAAGTGGACACAAATATCAGGAAAAAATACTGAAATTCAACATGATAAATAACCACAATATCAACAGGAAGAATCAATGCAAACTTATAGAAATTTGATAAATATAGGTAATATCAATCAGGTCATAGTTCACCCTAATATTTACACCAAATTAACCAACATTAAAGAAATTTGTGCTTGGTGGCTTTCATTTTAAAGTGTTTAACTTACCAAAGTTACACCTTGTGCCTGAACTCACTCACCACAGCACTCCTAAAACTGAGACTTTTGGAAGTCCTGCCAATGCAGTTCTGACTTTTTTTAGTGTGGAAAGGAAAGCAGAGACATTCACAAAATTGTAGTACGCAGACCTACAATTGCTTCAAAAAATGAGAAAAAAAGACAAAAAAGACAGCTTGGCTCAGACACCTTTTGTAACCTCATCCTCTATAATCCTCTTTGTAACTCTCTACCAGGGATGCTAAATGAACTGGTACTTATGTAGTGCTTTTCTAGTCTAAGTGAGCACTCAAAGCAATTGATTATTACAACCCACATTCACACACACATTTGAGCTATATTTTCTGCCTCTAAGGACTTTCAAACACACACACACGCACACACTTTTTGAAGGATGCACGGGGAGGCGGATTTGAGGGTCAGTATCTTGCCCAAGGACACTTCAACGTGCAGAATGAAGGAGGAGGAGGGATTGAACAACTGACCTTCTGATTAGTAGTGGAACTGCTCTACCTCAGGCAAAATAAATCTCTGATCTGAAACGTTGCTGTTTCTGTTCTTCTGTATGATACAAGACATAAAACAAGCATCCCTCTGCTCTCTTTCTTTGGCTGCACATGATAGTATGTGTGTGGTAAAGCACTAGAATAACACTGATGTAGCCTTAATAAAAAAAAAAAGCATCTACAAACACCTTAAAGGCTCATTAATTAACACAACATGTTTCGTCTAAGAAGAACAGCTGTATGCTTTTACAGTGTATAGTGATGAAGGATTATTTCTTGACTATAAGTCTTCGTGCTATGCTAAGGTAAATGGCTGCTGGCTACAGTTTTAAAAGAGTGCTAACAATCTTCCACCTTAATCTGACTTTCTGTAAGAATACACCTTTCCCAAAATGTCAAACTACTCCTTTAAGATAAACTTTAATATTGTCTCCATCCATATTTGAAAAAGATCAAAAGGTCACACTCAGCCTGGAGCTAGATGATAGTACTAATATTAAAGAAGTAGGAATGGTCTCTGAAGTGGCTGAGACATCAGACTGAATTTTATATGTGGAAAAAAAATCTCAAAGCAGTTTTTCTCTCTCACCCAGTCATCCCTTATCACTTCACCCTGTCCACGGCGATCGAACAAGATGCCAGCACCACAGCGAGGGTTTATGTCATCATCATTGGTCCCAATGACGTCGAGACAGACCGGCTGTGGCTGGACCTGCCAGAGGGAAAGAAATCCTTCACAGCTGGCTCCATGGAGCACTTTGTGTGCTATGGAACTGACGTGGGAGAGATCAAGAGGGTGGAAGTGAGAATCTGGGACTCTTTCTGTAGCTAAATCTGTGAAACTGTCTCCTCTCTGCTGTCTCTTCAGATGCACTGCTGTTAAAATTTTAATAAAACCATTCTAGCTCAGCAATAATTAATTCTAGATGTGCCTAGATCAAACAAAAATCAAGTGATATACCAATTCCCTCTCCATCTCCTCTCCCTTCTCTTCCCTCTCAGCTTGGCCATAATGGTGTCACACCAGAGAGCTGCTGGTTGGTGGATGAGCTGTCGGTTGCCGTGCCAACCAAAGGTATCAAGTACATCTTTCCATGTAAGTGCTGGCTGGCTAAAGACAGGGGAGATGGTCTGACTGCCAGACTGTTCAATGTGCTGGACTCCAGCACGATCAACATTATCCGCAAAGTGAGTCACCGCACCTAAAATATGAAGTGTTGGAAAACATTCAGTTAATGTGTTACATAAAAACTGTATCTGTATCTCTGTGTACTGTATTTTTTTTAGGTTGTTTATTCAGTCACGGTTGCCACAGGTGACATTCAGTATGCAGGAACTGATACCAACATTTTCCTGACTGTGTTCGGAGCCAATGGGAGCACAGAGGAAATGCTTCTGCCCAAAAATGAGGATAGGTCAGTTCACGGTGATTACTTATCAGTAAAGAAACAGTTGATACTTTCAGTGCAAATACTGGAAATGTGGGATGCCTGAGTTTAAACAAACAAAATGAGCTCATCAGCACCTTTAAAGTTCAATAATATATGTGTTGCATCTCATTAATGTGACCTAATTATAAAGAAATGTCACTTATTGTGTGGTATTTTGGATCAAAGCAGTGATTTCCTTTATTGGCACTAAGATCGTAATAACAAAGAGTCTGCCATATAAATGCCATAAGCACCACATGTTTCTGAATAAACACAGTGTTTTATGTTAATCTGTGCTGTTGCCTATGGACAAAATTGGACAGGCTGTTTCACTGTTTATGCCATTTAACCTAAGATAATCTAACCAGCCGCTGTGTACAGCTACAAAGGCATGAAAGTTAAAATGCAATTAAATGTATCTTCAGAAAGGTTAAACTATTTAATTAGCACAGTCATGTCTTTAAATGCAGCTTAATCCATATATATTGGTTCATTCAGGTTTGAAAGAGGGCAAGAAGACACATTTACCTTGGAGATAGATGACATCGCTCCTTTGAAGAAGATCAGAATTCGAATAGATGGCACCGGAAGCCGCCCAGACTGGTTTCTTGACAGGGTAATGCAAAGAGAGTCTGATGCAACACGTCTGGTATTAGAATACAAAATGTTAAGAAAGAAGGAATGATAAGAAATAATTTGCAATTACCGGAAAGCAGATGCACATTTTGAGGTAGCACAAAACTTTCACATCAGTTTATCATAAATATTACATGTTACACTCATGTGCTACTTTATAAGGTACAGCTTGCTAGATCCCCTTTTACATTCAGAACTGGCTTAATTCTTCATGGCATAGGTTCAACAAGGTGGTGTATACATTCCTCTGAGATTTTACCCCTTACTGACACGATACCGTCAAACACTTGCTGCAGATTTGTTGGCCCCACAACCATGATACAAATCCCCCGTTGAGCCAAATCCCAAAGGTGCTCTGCTTGATTGAGATCTGGTGACTGTAGAGGCCGTTTGAGAACAGTGAGCTCATTTTCATATTCAAGCAATCAGTTTGAGATTACTTGAGCTTTGTGATATGGTGTGTCATCCTTTTGAAAGCAACCATCAGAAGATGGGTACACCGTGGCCATAAAGGGATGGAAATGATCAGCATCAATTCTCAGGTAGGCTGTGGCATTTCAATAATGCTCAGTTGGTACTAAGGGGCCCAAAGCATGCCAAGAAAATATCCCCCACATCATTAAACCACCACTAGCAGCCTGAACTGTTGATGCAAGCAGGATGGATCCATGTTTTCATGTTGTTTGCAACAAATTCAGACACTACTATCTGAATGTTGCAGCAGAAATCAAGAACTCATCAGACCAGACAACATTTTTCCAATCTTCTGTTCTGTTGATCCCATGTGTATTGTAGCCTCAGGTTCCTGCTCTTAGCAAACAGGGGTGGCACTCAGTGTGATCTGCTGCAGCATTTGATATTTTGTGCTTTCAGAGATGTTTTTCTGCATACCTTGGTTGCAAGGTGTGGTTTTTTTGAGTCACTGTTGGCTCCCTATCAGCTCAATGCAGTCTTTCTCTGGCATCAAAAGGCATTTTCACTGCACAGAGAACAATCAGATCACTGGATATTTTATCTTTTTCTGTCCCTCCTCTATAAACTAGTGATGTGCAGATCGATCCTGAAATATCGATTCCTCCGATACCAATCATTTATGTTCTAGAATCGATTCTCACATTAAAATATCGATATTTTAGTAGTTTAGAGTAAATTTGTAATTTATCATTAACAGCAACACAGTGGAAAGAAACTATGACATTCGGATTGTCTACATTCAAAGGCACTACTTCCTCTTCCGCCTTTCATAGTCATGTGCTAAATACGGCTGTATAAATGTCTGGCAGCCGCTGGCGTGTGCACTCACAACAATGGCTGAGCGTAATTGGAGTAATTTGCGGACGTTACATCCACAAACAGCCAAGACGTGATTTGCGATACATGTGGCAAAAAGTGAGGTGTTGCGGCCATACTTGCCAACATTGAGACCTCAGAATTAGGGAGACATTCAAAAAGGCTGTTGGGGGGTTGATAAATAAATTTTACAGTGTTTATTTATCGGATAAAATACGTTAAATGTCACCGTTATTATTGGCCGGCCCGAAAACAGCGGTGGTGTCCAAATTCAGAGGCTGCTTCCACCTGAGACTCTGCTCCTTGCTATCTAAAATATAACAGGGCGCTGACTTAAACTCTCGACCGTCTCACACTTCTGTTTAAACAGTTTTCTGTTTGACGTTTATTCAGCTGTGTGAAAACCCTGGAGGAACCCTCTCGAGGGATTAATAAAGTTAAATTTAATTTAATCTAAACTAATAACTTTATTCTCAGCCAAACCGATTTACTCGCGAACAAATAAAACACTGAAAAAGCCAAACAATAACATTTTTAAGTTATCAAAGTGACTTATATATCATGTTTAACGACCGCAGGGGTTTGAAAACGATGTGTTGATCGGCTCAGATATTTGAAGTTTACACAGCTACATTCTCACCTGAAAATATGTTAAAAGTTTTTTTGCGACCCAGAAAGAGAAATAAGAGTAATATTAAAACTAAGTATCTGGAAACTGGAATTGGCTGGGCCCTATGAATTCTGCGAGATGGTTTTTCAATTTTGTTGTCCGGGTGCAAAATCGGGAGAAATTTGGGAGAATGGTGGCTCCGGGGCACTGAAATTCAGGATTCTCCTGGAAACATCGGGAGGGTTGGCATGTATGGTTGTGGCAACATCACTAACCTTGTCAAACACCTCAGAGTAAATCATATCACAGAATATGACGAGTGTATGTTGAAGCGAACTGAAGAGGAGGAGAGGGACAGGTGCTGCTAGGGCGAGACAGACGTCTCTCACGGAGTCCTTTAGTGATGCAGGCAGGCAAGGTGTTCAAATAGTGCACAACTTCAGTTTTTCTATTTCTATATGATGAGCTCTGCATTATTAAGTGATAAGAACAAGAAATCTGATGTCCTGTAATCATTATGATGCTATAACTTGAGATCAAACTATTGGTATCGGATCAGTATCGTCGATACCACCCTGAATATTAATTGATATCGGATCGGAAAGGAAATCAGTGGTATCGCACATCACTACTATAAACCCTAAAGATGGTTATGTGGGAAAATCAACAGTTTCTGAAATACTCAGACCAGCCCATCTGGCACCAACAACCATGCCACGGTCAGTTACTTAAATAACTTTTCTTCCACATTCTGATGTTCAGTTTTAACTTTAGGAGGTCATCTGGACTATGTCTACACACTTAAAGGCATTGAGCTGCAGCTGTCTGACTTACTAATTAAATATTTGCATTATTAACCGGTTGAACAGATGTACCTAATGAAGTAAGTAATGATTGTACAGTATTTGTGAAATTATATAAATGTTCCTATTCAGGTAATGAAATGAGGTGGAACACTGAACAGTTTTCACAAGTTAGTAAATTTCACTTGCGTGTTTGGTATATCATTGCAGTGGATGGCGCTGTCTCTAAGCTGTAATTAAAACAATAACTCTTGTGATTTTTAAATCACAATCTTTTAATTTGCTAATTTAATAATGAAGCAATTTCTTTTTTCAGCCTTCGCAAATACCGTTGATTAATCAGATTCTTTTCCAGTGGAAACAGATGAATGCTAGGTTAACTTTAGTGTATTTGTGGATTGTTTAACATTTTTCAAGCCACAAATATACATTAATGCATTTATTCCAAAATCACAGTCAATTTCCTCCTCCTCTGCTGCAGCTAAATAGTAGATTTCACATGTGGACATTTGTTTAATGCGAATTGTGAGGTCATCGTCTGATTTAAAATGTTAGATCCTGATGAGAAACCTGACCACAGAGGAAGAGTACCTGTTCACCTACGAGAACTGGCTGTCCAAGACCAAAGGGCCCAAGAGGACAAAGGTGTGTGAGCTGGCGGCTATGGTGGATGACGAGGAGATGGTAGAAAAAACAACTTACATCATCCAAATCCAGACTAGTGACGTTGCAGGTGGGTCACAGAATGTTTCCACATATATTTAGAAAGTTGACCAGGTTAAAGAAACTGTATCAGTCAATTTTAACTTAATTTGTCTGCTTGGAATAAAGTTTAAAAAAATAAAAAAATAAATATAAATATTCAAAGTTGGGGGTTTTTTTCTAATCATCCCAGAGCCCTCTTTAACTGCACAAATTTCTTCCCCAAATTTTACATTTGTTGAACTTCTATGACTATTTTACATATTTTTTAAGTGTTAAATAAGACACTGAGTGCTTAACTTTAACAAGCATGTTTACAACTACTAATAGAAATTCTCATAAGTTAAAGTTTATTGGAATTCTGTTCTCTGATCTTTGCAATATTCTAGGTGCTGGCACTGATGCCAACGTATTTCTGATTGTGTTTGGGGAGTATGGAGACACAGGGACGCTGCCTCTGAAAGAGAGCACCAACAGAAACAAGTTTGAGCGAAAAATGAAGGACGTGTTCAGATTTCCTGACATGCTCAGTCTGGGCGAACTGTCAAAAGTCAGAGTGTGGCATGACAACAAAGGTAAGGAGACAAGGAGAACTACGGTCATAAGTAAGGACATAAGAAAGGAAGGAAAGTTTTAGCAGTTTGGAGTAATCTGTGACGGCCTCAGAGGTTTTCTAAGAGAATACTGGGAGCAACAACACCATGAAGTCCAAAGAACACACCAGACAGGTCAGGGATAAAGTTACTGAGAAATTTAAAGCAGGCTTAGGCTACAAAAAGATTTCCCAAGCCTTGAACATCCACGGAGCACTGTTCAAGCCATCATTCAGAAATGGAAGGAGTATGGCACAACTGTAAACCTACCAAGACAAGGCCGTCCACCTAAACTCACAGGCCGAACAAGGAGAGCGCTGATCAGAAATGCAGCCAAGAGGCCCATGGTGACTCTGGACGAGCTGCAGAGATCTACAGCTCAGGTGGGGGAATCTGTCCATAGGACAACTATTAGTCGTGCACTGCACAAAGTTGGCCTTTATGGAAGAGTGGCAAGAAGAAAGCCATTGTTAACAGAAAACCATAAGAAGTCCGTTTGCAGTTTGCCACAAGCCATGTGGGGGACACAGCAAACATGTGGAAGAAGGTGCTCTGGTCAGATGAGACCAAAATGGAACTTTTTGGCCAAAATGCAAAACGCTATGTGTGGCGGAAAACTAACACTGCACATCACTCTGAACACACCATCCCCACTGTCAAATATGGTGGTGGCAGCATCATGCTCTGGGGGTGCTTCTCTTCAGCAGGGACAGGGAAGCTGGTCAGAGTTGATGGGAAGATGGATGGAGCCAAATACAGGACAATCTTGGAAGAAAACCTCTTGGAGTCTGCAAAAGACTTGAGACTGGGGCGGAGGTTCACCTTCCAGCAGGACAACGACCCTAAACATAAAGCCAGGGCAACAATGGAGTGGTTTAAAACAAAACATATCCATGTGTTAGAATGGCCCAGTCAAAGTCCAGATCTAAATCCAATCAGAATCTGTGGCAAGATCTGAAAACTGCTGTTCACAAACGCTGTCCATCTAATCTGACTGAGCTGGAGCTGTTTTGGAAGAATCTCTACATGTGCAAAGCTGGTAGAGACATACCCTAAAAGACTGGCAGCTGTAATTGCAGCAAAAGGTGGTTCTACAAAGTATTGACTCAGGGGGCTGAATAATTACGCACACCCCACTTTGCAGTTATTTATTTGTAAAAAATGTTTGGAATCATGTATGATTTTCGTTCCACTTCTCACGTGTGCACCACTTTGTGTTGGTCTTTCACGTGGAATTCCAATAAAATTGATTCATGTTTGTGGCTGTAATGTGACAAAATGTGGGAAAGTTCAAGGGGGCCGAATACTTTTGCAAGCCACTGTATATCAACCCAATTGAAATGCCACAGCAGGGCCTTAAAAGAGCTGTGTATAAGCAATGAATTGAAGCAAAGTACTTTTTTTTATTTTCAACTTTTTGACTAAAAAAGCTGACAAAATGTCTTACAAGGATACTTGGAAGATGGAATAACAGAATCTTGCTTAGATACTGCAAGAGTGGATGTACAGCACAGTGTTAATGTTAGCTTGTTTACTTCAAATCTATTTTATTTATAAAGTACCTGTTCACAATAGTAGTCATCTCAAGAAACTTTATACTATATATACTTTACCTTTTTTTGTTAAACAATGGAACAGGAAAATTTAGATCAGTGGTTGAGATAACATTTGTGTACAGATGGAATAAATTCACCATTGACTGTTGCTCTTACTGTAAACAGGCCCTGCTCCTGGATGGCACCTGGAGTACCTTGACGTGAAAGATGAGGCCCTGGACAACACCTTCAGGTTCCCCTGTGACCGCTGGTTGGCAAAAAACGAAGATGACGGGCAGATTATGAGGGAACTGGCTTGTGCCAACAATGATTTTGTAGACCTCAGTGACAAAACAAGTTAGTAATCCTGAGAGTCTGTAGGCATAATCATGGGTTGTGTAATTATCTGAGATGAATCACTTGCAGTAAATTACAACCATTTGTCACTTGTAAAATAATGCAGCAATTTGTGTCTCTGTGCATGGCCACAGAATATGAAATTGCCACAACAACTGCTAACGCAGATGACGCCTCCACAACGGAAAATGTCTGGATCCTGCTGGAAGGAAGGAAAGCCCGTTCCAAGGAGTTTGTTCTGGAGAATAAGAAAAAGAAGTTCTTAAGGTAGGTCTTCAGAGAGTCCAGGGTTCACGACTCATGGTAAAACCCTCTAATGTGGTCTTACATAATCGCCCTCTTTTACACATTTTTTTCTACCCCCTTTTATCTTGTAGCTTCATTTTCTCTTTACTCTCAGGAGAGATAATCCCATGAGGTGAAACAGAACCTCTCAGGCAGACCACAAAATTTAACAGTTTAAAATCAAAACCCTACACAAACTTCTCTTGCACCCTTCCACAGCGGTGCCACTGACACGTTTGAGTTCTCGTCAAAGCACGTGGGGGAAATCGCTAGCATCTGCGTTGGCCACATCACAAAAGACGGCAAGAAGGTGAAGAATGAGGCTTTCTGGCATGTTATGGAGGTGGTGGTGACAGAAAAGGAGCTGGGAAACAAGTGAGTAGACTCTCAAACAACATGCATTATGTTATATAAAACTGATGGTGCTGAATCAATGCATCCTCTTGTGGTTAGGTATTTCTTCCACTGTGATGCACAAATTCCCCTGGCAGCCAAAAAAGACCAGTTCCAGACATTCGAGTGCTATAAATCCATCGAGAGCTTTGCAAGCAAAGTCCGCAACCTGGTCCCTGTCAAGTATGAAATCATCGTCATCACCGGGGACGTCAAAGCGGCCGGCACAGACGCAAATGTTTTTATCACCATGTATGGCGTCAATGGTGACTCAGGCAAGCGTCACCTACGGCAGAAGTTTCGCAACCTTTTCGAGCGAGGGCGGACAGACCGCTTCGTTCTGGAGATGCTGGACCTTGGGGAATTGCTGAGGGTCAAAGTGGAGCACGACGGCACTAGCCCCAACAGTGGGTGGTATTTAGAGTGTATTGAGGTGACCAACACAGCCAATTCAGTCACAACAATCTTCCACTGTGGAAAGTGGTTGCACACTGCTAAAGCTGATGGACAAATTCAGCGAGTGCTATATCCCAGATATTAGAATAATGCTAGAAAGAAAGAGTGGGTGAGCATTTGCTTTTTCCTATTTGACTCATTTGTTTTGTTGGGGGGTTTTACCAATTGTAAGAGAAACATTGCACGGAAAAGTTAGAGTTAATCCATCTGAATATAAATGCATTTCAACTTTTTCAGGATAAAGCCAGTTTTTTGTTTTTATTTGTTTTGTTTTTTTTTAAGTTTGTGCCAACTGTTTAGGCTGTCACTCTTCAGAAAAAGCCATTTGCTTCCATCTCGCACAAATAAACAGAACTGAATATTACCCAGCTCACCACAACAAATATTTACCTTCATTTTACTTTTCCTCACGTCTCACTGAAAGGTTTCATACCAATGCCAATCACTTGAGGGATAAAGGCAAAGCTGGAAAACAGTTCAGCAAAAATAAATTCATTTGCTTAAGCATAATATATGGGCATTGCACTCCAACAGGGGTTAAAATATTCATTATGCATAAATTTAAAAACCCTTTTGTAGAATGATGGGTAGTATTACACAGGGATCAGGGAAGGCGAATAGCCAATCGTAGCAGCAAAAACAAAGACAACTCAAAAAAAAAAATGCGGAATGCTGTTTAACATGTAAATAAAAAAACGAATGCAATCATTTCCAAATCTCATGAACCCATATTTCATTCACAACAGAACATAGAGAATATATCAGATGTTTCGACCAAGACATTTTACTTCACGACCATCTGCGCCCCCAGTCTATGGATCACCTGTAACTTAAAAGGCTGTAAGGTCAGACACCAACAGGTGATTCGGGCGTTGGCATCCTGCATGTGATGGAGCCACTGTAGCGGAGCGTGATCCGAACAGAGGATGAAAGGGCAGCTCAGGAGGTAAAAATGAAGAGAGTCAACCACCCAGCCGATTACCAAGCACTCCTTTTCAACTGTGCTGTAGCAAGCATGCAATGGCTGCTGTTTTTTACACCTGAGGGCGCACCGGCCCGCCTCCCAAGTGGTACCCCAAATACTGTACCTCCCTCCGTCCAACCGTATACTTCTTCTGGCCTTGAGCCACATCTGCCTCAGGGACTCCAGGACCGTGGCCACCCACTGCACATGCTCCGCCCAGGTGTCACTGTGGATGATGCCAGCCACAGTGACATCCGGGTAGGCGGCAGCATATGCAGCCTGCGGATGCAGCACCCATTCCATGAGGAGTTGGAAAATGGCTGGAGCTCCAAAGAAGGAAGTGTGACAAATTGGGACAACCCGTAAGGAGTACACAAGGATGCTTTTTCCTGGGAATCTGCCAGTAGCCCTTGGTTAAATCCAGAGTTGTGAAAAACTGAGCAATGCCTAACCAGTTCAGGAACTCGTCAACCCGGGACATGGGGTAGGCATCAAACTGTGACACCTCATTCACCTTGCGGTAGTCAATGCAGAACTGTATAGACCTATCTTTCTTCACCACAAGGACCACGGGGCTATCCCACCCACTGTGTGACTATTCTATTAGTGGAGATATCATCTGAATTTCAGGAGCAGGACCACTCTTCCTTCACGCCTCAGGCTATAAAAGCCCCCCTTCTCCAATACCTGCTGTTCTCATTTTCATGCCCCACCCCCTTTTTCCCTCTCTTCTCGTCTCTTCCTTTCCTTCATTCAGTTCTCGTTAATACATGGGGAGCTGCCCAGCTCGGGAGCCCTCGCCAGTCCCCTTCGAGGCCTTCCCCAAACCGCAGCACCAGTTCACACTTCCTCATCCCTCATCGCCCATCATTACCGAGGATGTGGTCCCAGCTAGTGAACTCCAAGCTTTAGCATTTCAGCCATTTCCCTCTGAACAATTAGCCTTTTATGTTCAGGAAACCTGCAGGGCCATGAACGCACCATCACGCCTGGGCATATTTCAAAATGGTGCTCTATGAGATTGGTATGGCTGGGCAGGAGGGAGAACACATCTGCAAAATGCTGTTGCAATGCAGCAACAGCTGCTCTCTGGGCCTGTGTGAGATGGTTATCACAATGAATGGAGGATGGAATGGTGGAATTTGGCATCTCTGGTCCTAACTCATCTGTCTCCTTCACCAGAGTCACCAGAGAAGCAGTCTGAAGGTGGTGGATGCTGGTCCAAACAGACCAGTCAGTCAGTATCTCTTTCGGGATGCCAAATCAGGAGACGACCTGAAACAGCGCCTGCGCTGCACTCTTAGAAATGGTGCACAGTGGCACTGCTTCGGGATATCGCGTTGCATAATCCACCAGAACTAATACACAGTGATGCTTCATTACATCACAGATCAAATTTTGTTGACCGTTAAGTATGGACAAGATACACTAAACGTGACACGTGAAACAAAGACAAAAGGAGAACATATAACATTTGTAGGGGGATGATGAAATAAACATAATATAAACCAAATTCAAAAGAATGTATTCATAATTTATAATAAATATTACAAAACTTTTTTTAACATACAGATTCCATGTTTGTGCAGTCTTGTTTGGATTGGCCCACCTGTTGAGGAGTAGTAGGAGTAGGAGTAGTAGGAGTAGTAGGGGCGACCGTGGCGCTGGGGGTTGGGAAGCGCATCTGTAACCGGAAGGTCACCGGTTCTCTCTGGGCTCTCTGTCCTGGTCGTTGTGTCCTTGGGCAAGACACTTCACCTACCGCCTACTGGTGTTGGCCAGAGGGGCAGATGGTGTGATATGGCAGCCTCGCTTCTGTCAGTCTGCCCCAGGGCAGCTGTGGCTACAACTGTAGCTTGCCTCCACCAGTGTGTGAATGTGAGAGTGAATGAATAATGGAATTGCAAAGCGCTTTGGGTGCCTTGAAAAGCGCTAAATGCAATCCATTATTATTATTAGATAAAGACCTACACATACACATAATCACACGCATAATGTGATCATTAGAGTAACATTTTACAGTGTCCCAGTTATTTCTTTATATGTTGATTGTTATTTTTAAATAAGTGTATCACCACATGGACATTATCTATGATTTTCAGATTTCAGGCAATCTTGGATTGCATAGGAAATACAAAAAACAGAACTTCATTGTCATAAGTAGCTCATCTGGCTTACTGTGACTATTGTCTATAACAATTTACAAGGTATTGTAATCCATGAAATACAGAAAGAATGTGATATAGTAGGCTTCCTTGTCATTGTGGCTATATTGCACAAACTAATCAGGATGAAAATCCAGTGAGAACAATAAATGTGACCTCGAGCTTGACCGTGAGCACAATATGGATGAAAACCCACTAGGTGATCAAATCTGACCAATACTCCAGGAGGATTAGTGAATCTTGTCAGCTGTGGATGGACAGATGACGGACACCTAGCCAAGGCATGACTTTATCGGTCATGCTTGTCTTATTAGTGAAGGTACTTTAACAAGTGGGCAATATATTTGTCAACTAAAAAAAAACCTCCACTTTAATATCGTCCTGATTTTTCTATTTCTTTTAGCTGCTCCCTTTGGGGGTCGCCATAGCAGCTCGTCTGCCTCCATCTCACCCTATCCCTAGCATCCTCCTTTGTCAAGCCAGACCTCGGCATGTCCTCCTTCACTGCATCCACTAGCACACAGAGCCTGTTTCAGATACTCCCTCTCCTCTGCATTCCTGATTCTACACCTTCCACTGTTTAATAACATCTTGATTGCTTAATTTAAAATCCAATACAGTGGTGTACAGAGGCAAGCTTGGAAAGATTGTGCCGTTTTCCAAAATGTGTGGACCCACTGTATGCTCTTACAGATCTGTCTGTGATATGTTGTCCAACACGTGTAATTGAGATAGCTTACAGTTCCATAAATGAAATGTTTTTTCTAAATTAAAATGACTCCAAATGACACACGGATCAGATTAGTTCTCAGCATTTTAGGCAGTTTATTTGAAAAACACATACAAAAAGATCATATACAAGACAATAAATAAAAAAGAGACAGAACAGTTTGGGTTAAGCTATGCAACTTTTTGCATCATCATTAGTAATAAATACAGTACAAAATCCACCCAGAGTGAATCTAAAGATTTTCCACAATATTCACTGATCATGTTATTCTTCATTATGATTTAGCTATTGCTTTCATATTATTGATACATACTTCTACTTTTCTATAAAATACTCAAGATCATAAAACATTGCGCGGTTACAGCAAAACAGCAGTGTGTTGTACAAAGATGGCCACTTCCCTTTTTCACTGGCAGGTTAATAATCAACATTTTTTCAGCAGCAAAGAAACATCTGAAATATTCAAGAAGGTACAGCATCATATTAAACACATCTACAGAGCTACTCCCACATACACATAGGAAAACCTGAGAAGGACATGCATTAAAAAGCTTGTGCTTTAAGTTCTACTGTTCATTCCGGTTCATCAGCTTGAGTTAATACTATGGCTACTGTCCAGTTCGCTCTGGAGTTATGGGGTACACTGTGGAGGGCACGGGGTAAGGCCAGTGAGAGCACGAAATGAAATCATAATAGTAAGACCAGCCAGCTTCATTCCAATCCAATATATGTTATAATAATTTGCAGGATTAGTAGAGTATTAATAAGAAATGCACACCGAAAACGTAGTTAGCTTATTATACCCAGGTGTAAAACATCTATATTGTATAACCACAGTACACCAGAAGTTTGCTCAATAAGATCAATGGCTCAAGTTAGCATGTTAGATATACGTTCCATAATCCCACACAAAGCAACTGCCAGCAACAAATAATACAGCTTGTAATGTGGGTCGTAAAGAGAAGCACTAAATTGAGACCCAGATATGATTTATATTGTGGTCAACTTAAAATGTGGAAAAACTAAAATAAATGTGACTGATTATGACAACAGAAGCGAGCTAAGACAAAAAACAAAAAAAAAGGGCTGCACCCTGACATCTGCTTTGCATCAAAGCAGGGATGATGTCTAGAAAGTAAAACATTTATTAAAAAAGAAAAATCGAGAGATGATATGAATGGAATGTAATCCAGATCAACAGCACCATGCTGGCTAGAAAAAATGTGTCGGGGGAAACAACCCCAGTCGATTTTTCAACAAGTTTCTTTTTTTTTTATCTCGCCTCCGAAAAAAGAAAACACAGACGGCATGCAAAAGCATCCCCACCGACCAATGCATAATGAGGTATTCTTTTTTTAATATTTTGTGTTATTTTAAATAAATATATTGATTAAATTGCAAAGTTATGAGATAGAGACATTAAATATTCCACCACAATAGCTAGCTAGCTACAGTTAGTAATAAATAATGATTGTTAAATACTTAAGGCATCTTTAATCACAGCATTCTATGTGAACTAGCAAACCTCCATTTTCATCCATC